GGAGAGAGAGAGAAATAGATAGATAGATAGATAGATAGATAGATAGATAGATAGATAGATAGATAGATAGATAGATAGATAGAAGAGAGAGAGAAATAGATAGATAGATAGATAGATATTGATATATAGCTATATAGATATATAGATATTTGTTCATTTTTTGTTTTGTAAAATGAAATGCCCAGACAATATACTGTATTCATAATACTTATATATAAATTAAAAAACCTTTGACTTTAAAAACAATGGCCTAGGGTCTCCTGCTTGAGCAGGGGGCTGGACTAGAAGACCTCCAAGGACCTTCCCAGCTCTAATCTGATTCGGACGACTCTGAAAGTTGATTTTGGGGGAAAAGCTGGCTAGCCTGAAGGGGTGAGTGGAAGCTCAGCCCTCCGCCACGTCCCTCGCGTCGTCTTCTGTGGCCTCTCCGTGCAGAACCACAGGTGTGGATTTGATGTCACGGTGACTCACCCCTTTGCTCTGGAGAGGTGCCAGCTGTTGACATGGCACAGCGAACGTCTCTCTCCGTTCTTCCTGGGTGGAGAAGATCAGTTGAGTTCAGCAGCCTCCAAAGGAGCCAGGGCTTCTGAATCTTAAAAAAAAATCATAGCATTTTAGGGAGGGACCTTAGAGATCTTCTAGTCCATCCTCACGTCTTGTGCAGAAATCTACAAAACCGCTTTTGGGGCAACAGGCTGCCCCAAAAGGTCTTCCCTTGAAAACCTCCAGTACTGGCGGTTCTCAAATTATAGGACCACCGTTGAGCTCAAAATACACGTGGCTATGGGCAAGGTTTGTTTTAAGTGGGATTTGCCCCCTTTTTGCGACTTTTCTTGCCACTGTTGTGAAGTGAATCATTGCATTTCTTAAGTTAATCCCTTAACTAAGAGAAAGGAACTGGCCCAAAGTCACCCGGCTGCCTTTCATGCCTAAGGCGGGACTAGAACTCCCCGTCTCCTGGTGATTGGCCCAAAGTCACCCAGTTGGCTTTCGTGCCTAAGGCGGGACTAGAACTCCCCGTCTCCTGGTGATTGGCCCAA